GCCAATAATATTGCTCTTATTACTGCGGAGGATATAGCAATGCTCTCATCATTAAATATTTATTGTGGTCATCTTCCAAAAGAGAATACTAGTAAGAGGGCAGTGTATATTGAACACTGCTCACCAATAAGATGTATAAAACACATAAGAGTGTTTGTAACCCTTTCAAGTGTGTACTTGATATTGTTTTTTGCATCCTACACGATTAACAGTGGCATAGAAATTGGTCTTTACAAGAATCCCTACTGTAATCAGGGCTAAAACGGGGGGTTCCTGTTACACGGAACTATTCCCACAAAAGAAGCTGACCTCATGGCCTCTGCAGCACTGAAGTTGTCTCTGCCTACAATATTTAAGGTATGAAAGTCTATTCAGTGAGAGTTTCAAACTGAAAAAGGAATCTCTATGGTGAGATGTACTATTCACAGTGAAGAAGCCGTGACACCATCTTCTCTGTATATGGACAAGGGAAGAAGCAAATACAAGGGGATAAAGGGCATATTAGAGAGACAATAAACCGACACAGCCCCCCTGCACCTGGGCTATTAGGCTTCTCCAATCATAATGCACACATTTAATTAGATGTGTCTTTCAATTAAAGTGAATATTGTACAGTTTCCTCTGCATCAGACCAGCATTTGCCACATGGCAGTAATGGGACACATCTGGGTTTCCACTCAGACCATGTTCACCCCAGCAGCAACTGAATTATTCTGTTAATGACAAGACCTTCCAGCACATGTAATAAACACTAGTCTCTCCATTCTTGAAGAATGCACTGTACTATCTTGTGCTCCTGTTTTGCTTGCTAAGTAATATTTTGGCGATGATGGATTTTGCAGTATTTGTGCTGTGCCTGGAATTTTCTTTTAAGTCTCTCTTCTGTGCAGTCTGGAGCATAATGCATTTGACCATTTGTAAAAAAAAGATACAAAAAATTTACTAGATTTGCAGTCTGATTTAAAAAAAAATTATTAAAAAGACCATCTGCATCTAAAATGGCCAAACATGACGCCAGTGCAGATTCAGAAAAACTACTAATACTTATAATGGCCACAGTAACAAAATGGAGTAGGTGGTACTGGTTACACTTAATGACTTAAAGCACCACTGTTGGGAAAAATAAATTGTATACTGACAAATATATTCAATACATTAAGAATCCATATGCAGATCAATCGGTCCAAAAAAGGAACAGTGACTAGGGTTGGGACAAATAGCTTTTCTTGTTATGGTCACAATTTCTGTACATGGTTTAAATCCTATAATACAAAAAAATCTGCTGAAGCTGCACCACTGGCAGCACCCCTGTAACTTTTGCTGGGCAGCTTGAATGGAATGTAAATGTGAAAGAAAATTTGCAATAATGAAGAAAATATGTTCTGGAAGCTATCATTACATGTATTAATAACATGTATTAAATATTTATTATGTATTAACCGCTTGAAGACCAGGTGTTTAGACCCCCTTCCTGGCCAGGCCATTTTTCAGTATTCAGCGCTGCGGTACTCTGACTAACATTGATTCCGTCATGCAACGTTGTACTGAAATGAATTTTATACCATTTTTTGGGGACAGATAGAGCTTTATTTTGGTGGTATTTAATCACCACTGGGTTTTTTTTTTTACTATATTCAGGAGAAATTACTGAAAATGTTTTTACAACTAATATTACCCACTTTTTTGGTAAAATATAAAAGACGGGGTCACGTCGGGTAAATAGACACCAAACATGTCAAGCTTAAAAATTGCACGCACTCACGAAATCACAAAAAACTAGCATACCCAAAATTGGCCATAGGCGACGCTTTAAAAGCTTTTACAGCTCATCAGTTTAGTGTTATCAGTGATTGATGGCCCTAAAATTTTTGCTCTCATTGCGACGTTTTCGCAGGTATGCGCACCTGACGCATGTTTACATGCGTATATGTAGGGGTGGGGACGTAAACTCTTTATGGAGACATCAGGGGTCTCCAAGACCCCTAATATGTCACCTTGGACCCCCTGAAGAAGCTGATGAAACGGAGATCTGCTTCATCAGCTTCTCTCCAGCATCTGAAGCTGGAGAGTGACACGAGAATGCGGAAGTGCTGTGATATACACCACTTGCGCATTTTGACAGTGGAGAGGGGACTGGAGGGAGATCGTGAACCGACCTCCCTCTAATCCCCTCTCAGAGAGCCACTATGCTGGTCCCGGGCTCGCACCGTGCACAGCGGAGCCCAAGATCAGCGTGAGGGGTCACGCTGGGAGGGGGCGCACATATCGGGACCCCATACAAGCGATCCGCCGGCTCTATAGCCGGCGGATCGCTTGTATGATAACAGGCATCGCTGCCGGTTTTAAAATTATTAGTCTTTCCCGCTCGTGCGCGGCGCGCATGAGTGGGCTGATCTAACAGGGCGTGTATACACGCCCAGTTACATCGAAGAAGCTCCCGGCCGGCCGTGTATACACAACGGCTGGCCGGGAGGTAGTTAATTTAGTCACACACGCCCCATAACATTATGGCCACCTGTAGACCTCCCTGACCCGTCGAGGCATGGACACCACTAGACTCCTGTAGGTATGCTGTGGTATCTGGCACCAAGCTGTCATTAGCAGATCTTGAAAATTGTGAGGTGAGGCCTCCATAAATCTGACTTGTTTTTCCAGCACATCCTACAGATGCTTGATTGGATTAAGATCTGGAGAAACTGGTGGCCGGGTCGACCTCGAAAACCATTCTTTAACTATTTTTGCAGTGCAGTAGGGCGCATTATCCTGCTGAAAGAGGCCACTGCCATTAGGGAATACTGTCTCGATGAAGGGGTGTACTTGGTCAGCAAAATTGTTTCGTTAGGTGGTACATGTCAAAGTAACATCCACATGAATGGCAGGATCCAAGGTTTCCCAGCAGAACATTGACCAAAGCATCTCACTGCCTCCACCGGCTTGTCTTCTCCCATAGTGCATCCTGGTACCAGCTCTTCCTCAGGTAAGCGACACACATGCACCTGGCCATCCACATAATGTAAAAGACAGCTTGATTCATTAGATCAGGCCACCTTCTTGTATTGCTCTGTGGTTCAGTTCTGATGCTCACATGCCCATTGTAGGCACTTTTGACAGTGGACATGGGTCAGCATGGGCACCCTGACCAGTCTGACAAAGTAGCCCCAAACGCAACAATCTGCAATGCACTGTGCTTTCAGACACCATTCTATCGGAACCAGCATTAACTTTTTCAGCAGTTTGAGCTACAGTAACTTTTCTACTGGATCGGACTACACGGGCCAGGCTTTGCTCCCTATGTGCATAAGTAAGCTTTGGCTGCCCACAACCCTCCCAGTTCACCAGGTTTCTTTCCTTGGACCACTTTTGGAAGGTCCTGACCACTGCAGACCAGGAATATCCCACAAGAGCTGCAGTTTTGGAGTTGTTCTGACCCAGATATCTAGCCATCACAATTTGGCTCTTGTCAAGTCACTCAAATCCTTACAATTGCCCATTGTTTTTCTGCTTCCAACACATCAAGTTCAGGAAGAAAGTGTTCACTTGCTGCTTAACATATCCCACCCACTTCCAGGTGCCATTGTAATGAGATAATCATTCTCTTTTATTTATTGTAGAATGATCTATAGTTCAGTTAGGAAGAACCCGCGCTAGTACCAAATTGATTTCCTGCTGTGAACGGAACGTAAAGCCCACAATGTGATTCCTGTGAAAAGGACACAGGCCGCTTTACAGCAATATTTACAATGCATTTCTGTCAGTTTGGGCAGCCTGCTAATAAACTGCATACGAACAAACATATGCAAACAATGTAGATAAATACCATATGCAATGAGAAGATTAAAAACATTTTGTGAAGCCACAACATGAACTTCTGCTCAGCATCAGTTGTGACCTGCCGCTCACATGCTCACCATGAATGCAGACAGACCATTAACCCTTTAGCTAGGTTCATTTTTTTTCCCACAGTTAAACCACATCTTTTAGCTGGAAGAACCTCTCTCTAAGATGCTGTAGTATTTCGAAATCGACTGAATACGCTGCAAAATGTCCCATCCAGTGTAATTGCACATGCATATGACCATCTATGTTTTTAGTACTCATAAGATTAAATTGCAGCTAAAATACATATACAGTACAGTTAACGCTCAGGAGTCTAAATACAGTGTTAAAGTTGAACTCCACGCAAAAGAAATGAGATACGAATGGTAAAGTGAAGTCCTTACTGCAATACTATAGTGTCATTCTCTTTCTTACAGTGGATCAACGAAACATCGGCCTCGCTTCAAAGTGCTGTAGGACAGTGTTTTTTAGGATTGAAGAAGACCAGTTACCTTGGTCTGTCACTGCCCATATAACAGACTACATTCTCAAGGGCTCATGAGAAATGTACTTCCATGAGGTGTGCCTACATCTGTATATCCATCTTCTCCAGTCAAATCTTTGCTTCAGGTCAACACTGACCTGGTGTGTGTGTTTGTATAATTAGGGAATTCCCCATAAGAGGCTCAATACCATTTACTTCTTACAATTTATTGGGGATTTCCAGGAAAACCAAAATCCTGTTTGTCGGAGTCCTCTCAAAATATGAACATTTTAGCATAGGAGGTCCCCTCCTTAATCTCTCAGATTTAATCTAAACAATTTCTATTTGTCAGCTGTAAGGCCAACCACATGTATATATTTAATTTGATTATGCATTTTTACAGACAGATTTCAGCATGTCAAGCACTGCAAACAGTAGCAGGAAAGAAGTCCTGCTGCTGCTTACAAAAAAGCTGTGGGTGGTGACAGCCCCCCAATATAACTAGGTAGGCTTCCAAAGATTTTTGGTTTCCTTAAAAATGCCCTTCATGTTTGTATTTTATACACAGTTTGCAATAACTAATACGTTTTGTTATTTTTATTGCGGCATCATTTAGGGTCTTCCTGTAAACCACTAGCAGACACTGGCATTTAAAGCATATTCTCTATATCCAGAAAACAGAACCCACCATCCCACTCACCTACTGGACTGGCACCAGCTCCATTTGGCACAGAGATGTCCGATGCACATAACATTACACCTGTCAAGAGATTTGAATATTTGTTATTGAACACAATTATGACAGAGAATTCATTGCCAAAAGAGCTTCTTTTAGAAAATGAATGAGTGATTTTTAAACTTGAATAGCGGAGACCAGAGATGGAATTAGTGCTATAAGTGATGGCATGGCTGACATCAGGCCAAGGGGCAGGAGGCAAGCACAACACACAAACACAAACAGGCTTGCATATTTCTTCTGTAAAGTCCTATACAGGTAGTTTCTGTAGTACTTTGATCTGATTGGCACTGTGTCACTGAGAGAAGCATGGATAGTCCCATACAAGTTTCTGTGGCTATAGATAAAACAGCCAATAGTATCATCAGTTCATTATTTTTTACACAGTACCTACAATATTCTGCCCTTACCCGCCAAACAACCGGGATTAGGACTGGATTTTTTACCCCTAAAATAGTTGAGCTGTCCTGATCTATGGTATCACCCAACATCCTGCTCCTTGCACTTTTCCCATGTTTTAGATCCTTAACTCAGCATCAGTACTTAGAGTAATAACAGTAGGCAGCTTATTTGCTACTGCTTTAGGCAAAGGGGTACATGCAGAGAAGTTTGGCGAGGAGGCGAGAGTGATACCCCTTGTGGTCTTGCCTTCCTGGATACTGGCCTGTACACAAATCTAGTGGTTTAAAGAATACTAAAAACTACACAGTGCAATTTATATTATTGTAGTTAATTGGTACTTTTACAAAGCACATGGCATTGTGCAAGTTCAAGATGCAAGTCACAATTCGATTTTATTTTTGTCATAATCAACATGCAGATTATGGCTAAAATGTTGCTTAGAGAGCAATAAAAAATGATATTTAGCTAGAATAGTAAAATCCTAAAACTCCATTTGCCTTAAAATCTGAGGTTTTCTGTCAAGAGGTAAATTTTATAGATGCTCTGCCGGGACAAGACTTTTGGGTAAGGGGAACCATTTGACCTCCCCCCCACATGACAGTGCTCAGACCTGATCACCCAGCCTACGGGCATGAACACTTTTCCCACAACCCTCATCCACCTGGGTAAGCTGAGCAACATGGTGAATAGGGAATCCTCAGTCCCTGGCAGGAAAGAAAGATCATCTGCTTTCAGCACAGTGGCTCAGTGATTACCGATAAACGTTTTAAGCATCCCAAAGATAACAATGGTCAGTTAAAACATATATACAAACCACAAATATATTTTGGAAAAGATTTTGTGTGTGTAGCGCTGCACACTCAAAATCTTTTTCATCTTCACAAAACATAGCGCAGCAGCTCTCACATCGCACCCAGTCCAGAAGCGCAGATTTTACATTGTTTCACACAAATATATTTTGCATGATAAAAATCAAAGTTTTATATTTTCCCGTGTTTGCAGGTGAGAGAAATGGGGGATCCCCAAAGCGGGGAAACGGAAGTGATCCAGACCTCAGAAATTGGAACCCAGAATATGCAGTAAAGAACAAATATCCCCCAAAGGGATACACTCCCTGGGAAAAATATAACACACAATCTAATATCTATAAAAATAGCAACATTTATTAACAAAGCATATTTAAAAACAGAATCACATTTCACATCCATTTTTGTGAAATGTGATCCTGTTTTTAAATAAACTATGTTAATACATTTTGCTATTTTTATAGATATTAGTTTGTGCGTTATATATTTTTCCCAGGGAGCGTATCCCTTGGGCTTACACCATGCTCTAATCCATAAACCATGTTGCTCCCATTGATAAATTCATATTTATTCCAAAATATTGAGAATACAAAGTGATGGCTTTTTACCTGCATTTCCAGTGCTTGAGGGTCTCTGTGACACCCCAGGAGACACCACATTTCGGTGTAGCGAAGTCTGAGGAGACAGCATTCCTGTGTCTGTTAATGAGGTGGTGGCAGCCAGTGAAGAGGTGACAAGGGTGTTGCCTGGAGAACTGTATGACAATGTGTTAGGGTTGGACACTGGAATAGTCACCGACATTGAGAAGCTCTGCTGGGCTAGTCCAGGCTGTAAAGAACACAAAACCATCATTAATGATTACTTCAATAGCATGTAACATAGATAAACAGAGATGAAATAATGTAAGAGGACCTGTCACTGAGCTGAACATGTAAGCAGCCTTAAAGTTGTTTCCAGAGCCCTGCAGCTAATCAGTGGGCATTCTCCTCACTCACAGTACTACTGTACAGTAATGGTTCTAACCTGCAACCCAGGACTAACAGGTTCCATCAATGGTTTCTCATATAGGTTATTCAGTTATATGACAGACGCCCTTAATGTTATCAATCCTTCTATAGACACACTAGCATAAATATTAAATTTAGCACACGACAGAAATAAACCCAGTCTATTTAAATGTAAGTCGGTAAGCTAAAGAAAGAAAGACTATAAATCTCAATATAATACAAGGCAAAAAAAACAACACTTTTCCATATCCACATAATTACCCCAAACAAGTGTGCTGTAAAAGAGAAAACAATTTCCGTAAGGTTAAATCTGGGCTCCAGGCAAGCAGCAATATGCACATTTCAAATAAATAAATATACAGCGCAGCTAGTTTTGCAATCTAAACACCTTAGTTGGGTCATCTAACATCACTGTAGTGGCAATGCAGCTTAGTCTGCTCTCTATTTACATAAGCATGCTCTATGTAGGACAATTGATAAATTCAGTGAGATATGGTCCTCCCTCACCCAGTCTGAGGGGATTAACATCAAGATAGATTCAGTAATTTACATGTGTTGCATTTAAAAAGACATTCAGCAACATTTTAAGGACTATGTAACGTCATTAATTGATGTTTTTATATCTGCCAGGGGATTAGCTTTAAAGTAGGTTTTGCTTGTCTATTAATGCAAGTTCCCACTCATGTGCCCACAGCAACTATTTTACAAGTGCAAATGACCATGACATACATTTTTAATGGTGTCAAACTATTATGGTGGCCTGCAAAACCATGCAGCATTAGCTAGGACTATAGCACATGCTATACATAGAGACATGGCATGCCTTCATGACACAAAAGCCATTAAAGGCTGGTTGTACCCAAAACTAATATTTAAATGATTTACTCATCATTAATAGATTATTGCACTTCTGGGGACTTCAGTGTTGACATATCCCCAACAAAAATCCAAGCGTCTTCCAAATTGCCTCAGTCATTACAGAGCAAAAAATGATCTCACACTCTTCTCTGTAATGTAGAATAAACAAAGAGCTGGGTAGATCAAGTGAGAAACAAGACAACTTTTACTACCGACTTGTGGGTGCGGAAGAGGCAAAAGAAAATACTGTTGGGAATGGGTCTAGAAAGCCTGATGTACTTTCTTATACCAAAACATGTGTAACAATATTCAGCCTGATAATGCTGCAAGAATGGAAGTGTATATCCCAACACTAATCAACTTTTCCTTTTATCCCTTACAGGGCGCTAAGGGGATTATTTAATGAGGCAAATGTTCTAAGTGCTGTAACCTCCAGTAATCAACCAGCTTATATTTCATTGTTCTGAAGGCTTTCCATGGATGAAGGGTGACATTTGTTCTGTTGCTAGGGGTGAACACTTTTCACATCATCTTTACTATATCAGTGAAGAAAATACTGGGATGTTCTATTTGTATAACTATGTATGTTAGCAGCACATAAAATAAGTTGTGTGATACATTTAGTGGTTGTAAATGGAATCTCTCAGTGACAAAATAGAGACACAGAACAGTCACAGTTTGCCTGCAAGTGTCACAGAAGTGCTCTGTAATGCATGAGATGATGATTAGAACAATCTTTAAAGGAAAAGATAAGACAAACATACATCTTCCACCTCCCATCTTCTGCTTTTATCACTTCTGTGACATTCCTTTCAGCTAAAGCACCTCAGAGAGACATCAGTTTCTCACCACTGTGATCTTACATAGGCCTAAATCATACTTGACTTGGCAGATTAAATAAGGAACAGCATGAAGTATAGCTAAACCTGGGAACAGCACAAAGATACTACCATGCTCCAGTACAACACTCCAAATTAAACAACAGCGTGTTGTCCAGCTGCAAAGTCTAATCACATTTTACATATTTATATCATGTATGTGTGTGTGCTTATTTACATTATAATAATTGTTGAACACGCAACATTACATTTTTTGGTTGTTTCTATGTTTTTATGATCCCATTTATATTTGTGGGGAAATTGTATATAGCTTTGGCCACTGGACAGTCTGGTCCTTCGATGTTCTATGTGCTCAGGTGGACAATAGTTATCAAGCATTTTAGCATCATACCCAGGGGACAAGAGAATTGTAAGGTCTGCACTAGACCTTACTAATCTCATTCACACCTATATTTCAGGTGCGATTAGGGATTCCTGTGTTACAAACTTGCGCTTTCCTGCAGCAGGAATCCCTGATCTGGTGTTTACATGCAGCAACTGTCACCCATTCAAGTCAATGATCAGGTTACAGCCGCTGCATGTACACGCCGGCATTCCACATGTAATCAATCGTATGTGATATGATTACATGTAGTCACAAAAACAATCACTATCCCTAGATACACAATTGTGTATCCAGGGATAGTGATTGATTCCTAACTGCACATATGATTACATACGGTGTGCAGTCGTTTACATGCAGCAGCTGTCACCCGATCATTGACAGTTGCCGCTTGTAACATGTGCATAGATTAAAACTGGTACTGTATATAGTAGCGGCCCCCACGGGACTAAAAAATTTGTCCAGTGGCCCCTGACTAAATTGAGTTTGAGACCCCCGGGCTAGAGCTATACAACAGATTTGTAGCAGTTCAGTCACGCTACAAAATTTCTGTAGGAGCAGCATTTGATCGCTGAACTTATTAAACAAAATCACCCCTATGTAGTAAACTATACAAGAAGCATGCAGCAGCATCTTTTAGCAATTAATTGCACTTGATCGAAGCATCGTGTGATTATACGAGGTCGATGACTACTAAATGCTAGTTGTGTAGCTTACTCCATAAAGGAGCTTCTTGTTCAGCGATCAATTGCTACTTCCAGCAATTAACTGTAACAAGTTTAGCAGTATGATTGAGCTACTAAAAATCTCCTGTGAAGCTCTTCTCTAACAAGATGACTGCTAGCAAGTAGAACAATCTCTAATGTTGGCCATATACTGGTAGAATTTTGTTAGAAATTTGAACGTACGATCCGAGAACAAACTTTTCTAACAGTTACCAGTTACACAGTTCAACTCAACATTTATTTTCGACTGCAAAAGCAGGATGGACATTTTTTTATTGAACAAACTAAATTCTAATGGTAAATGTGGTTTTCATTTGGGGAAACTCCATTTAATACATGCCTTCAGTGACATAGGTAGCTCTGGCCACTGTGGAGTAATTCATCCTCAAAGCTTGCAGCTGAGGCTACTCAGTGTTATTTTCTCTTAATAGCTATGTTATCCCCGCGGAAGAACTACACCACAGTAACTACATTAAAGATTAGAGGAATTAAAGGCTACTAACTCTCTGCTAGGATGGGGTCCCAGCAGTGAGCTTGCCAGGCTGAACACAGAGTAGGTGAACAGGAAGAGGGGAGTGAGAAAAGTGCTGAAACCCATGATGAACAACTTAACTACTTATTGTTTACTTTTAGGATAAATTGCACCACAATGGCAGTAACTACAGTGGTCAGTGAGGGCTTATTTAAAGCAAAACTACTGCTTTTTAAGAACATGTAATGTCCATTGCCTGGGCACAATTCTCATTTGAGTGGTTAGCTTCAACAAACACATACGTAAATTTAACAAGCACATTTATTGCATATAATGTTATATCAGCATTTATTCTGCACATCCATTCTGTAAAGTTACACTGCCTCTTGTGAGAGAAGAATTGGGCACCAGTACAGGAGTGGTGTAATTTAACATATTAATAAATAAGCAGAGCATTATAACAAATTGAAAAAGACAAATAATTGGCAAAAACAGCTTTTAAATTTCAGCAACAGGTTGACAGATTGTTAAGAAATGCCATCTGTTTATGAAAATAATTGCAATTGCATTACTGGAAAGAAATAAGAAGTACACTGTGAGGCAAACTGAATATTCATTATGAATTTGTATACATCTGCATGAGAGTCCTTTTCACATTTAATATAACACACATGGCATGGCTCTTTCCAGCTAATGGACAAAGTAATGTGATGGCACAGCAGAAACATTCTAAGTGAAGTCCAAGATAAGGAGGGTTGTGTGAGGTGAAGTGGCGGCGTACCAGTCTCACTCTGAACAATGTAACCATACAATGTAAAGTCCCATGCTATGCACCTTTCCTTTCAGATCTAGTCTGTGTGGAAGACTTCCCACAGATTGAATGGGTGAAGCTTTTATCAAAACCAGCAGAGTGTCTAGATGAGTCAGTCAGAGGTGAACAGGTTGGGATCCTTACATCACTTAGTTACAAAAATAGGATGCATGCAGGTAAATTAATCTTCAAGACCTGCTTCACCTCATACATCTTTATAAACAGTTTATGTTGTTCTCCTTCTAAGTCAGCTAGTAAACCCTTTCTATACTGTTCAGTAGAACAACCAGACATGTTAAGGTACCCCCGCCCCCTCAAGCACTTAGGGAGAAACACAGCAGAGCCCTCTTTAAAACAGAATATATTTGCACGTCTCACTTCCATCTCCACTGTGTTTCTCACTAATTAAGTGAGGAGCATTTGAGTTCCATTTAGCATACCTTACCATAACTTGCCTGGTTCTTCCATTGTGTTCTTCCATAAGCCCTATTCCACAGAAGCATTGGTTTCCATGAACTGGACGGCTGATGGCCAACTAGCTTGAAACAGCTGTATGCAATTAGGACAAAAATTACTCTATAATATTAAGCTGCGCCACAGTTGGCCATAAGAGGCATAAAAAGGAGTGATTTGCATGCTTCCAACCACTATCCTAAAATGAGGACTTAAACATCTTATTTTTTGCATCTGTGGTGGAAGTGAGACCTGTTTTAGGCATGCTCTACTCCGTTTTATACCTATCTATACAATACAGTCACTAAATATCCTATGCATGGGCCAAGAAGCCAAGTTACCCAAGCCAATATCTAGGTGAGTTAACAAATATGGAAACTGCCACATCACTTGGTCATGGTGACCAGGAGTTGTGTTAACGGACGCTGAACCGTCAAATCACCAGGAACTTTAGAGATTTTGATTTAGTCACCAATATGGCTAAGTCACATACTGGGCCTTGTGTATACAATCTAGGAGCAATCTGTGCACTGTTCATAGTGAAAAATCAGACAGTATTTCAGTTTTTAATGCACTGGCAAATGCAACCTGATGGGTTGCTATGGACAACATAAATGGCCAACCTTGTACAGTTTTTATACAGAATTTTCCAATTGGATAAATTAAGAAAAAAGTGCTGCAAAAATTTTTTGGAGCTGGGGCTCACGGTAAACAGTCCCATTTCAGTTATTTCTTCAGTAAATTTAGAAGGTGAAAAAGGGAAATTGACCAGTTACTATGGGCAACAGGCAAAAGTAAAGCCCACACTGCCTCTATGGGGCACAGAGGCACCCAGCATACTTACTTCTTTATACCCTTCCACATTAAAAGCCTGCTCCAGTGTTGTGTGAGTCAGTGCCTTTAGGTCTAACTATGCCTATGCCACCGACTGCCATGGATCTATGCACAACTTATTCATGTTCACGTGACTGTGCTGCAGGGTTTACTGCCGGGCCCCCTCATACTACTTATTCTTCCACAGACCAGGTCTGCTTCAATTTTAAAAGCAAACTTGTCATGGAGTTATAGGGGACGCTGACCTTCTCCTTGACTGTAATACTCAGCAACCCTCAACAGGTATATAGTAAGCAAAGTCAGATCTCCTTCTGTATAATTTTTCCAAGCCAAGGACAGCACTGAAACCAGAGGGTCAGCATGATAAGATATGAAGCTAGCATTTTCAGGAGATCAGCCAGCATATTTTTCTCATAACAAGTGTCTTTTAATAAAATCAGGCCATTTAGATCTATACTATACATACAAAATACAGAAACAAATAAATAAAGTAGGCTTTGCTTTGGCATTCGCGTTTAAGGATCAATGGCTGGCATTTTTCTGATCTTCGTTGCATGGTGTCTAACCGTAATTGTTTTTCTCCAATTATCTAGAAAAAGCTCTTGTACTCACAGAAATTTTATGATTGCGCATCATATTATCAAATTCCTCGTTAATTTTTTTGTACTTTTCCTCTGTGTGGGGGGTGAGGACGAACGAGCTGTCAGGGTCCGGGCTGTCGCAGCCTCTGTGTTCTTTCTTGTTCAGAGCCTAGACAGTAAAGTCAATAAAAAGGATCAACACATACAAATAAGGGAAGGGGGTGAACAATACTTACAGGCTCTCGCTTGAAAACAAAATCATTATCTTCATTTAGTTTGCTGAATGTGTCCTCCTCAAAGTATCTCTCAGCATCTGGACTTTCACAACCATCTAAGCCTTTCTTTTTGAGAGTCTGAAACACAATTGGAAAATTCACACGCATGCTGCACTAACTGGGAATAAAGAATCTGGGTCTCAGACTGCTGCCCTTAAAGTTGACCCCTCATGAGAGCTACATGGAGGCTTCATTGCTGACCTCTGTTAAAAACAAATACTAGCTGAATGGCTGTTATGCTGACCCTTTTATGATTTCTGAAACATTTTCTGATATGGAAAATCAAAAATCCTTATCCGAATACTTGAAGCGGGAGAGAAACTCAAAAAAGTATAAAAACTGAGAAAGTCATCATGGCATCCAAGTAACCAGCAAAAGGACAGCTCGGAAATCCCAGCCTCCATGTTTCTTCCATGACATGTCATCTTTAAAAAGGACACCTACAGACAAAACTTTATTTTTTTGTTTTGGCTAGAGACTTAACAATATATGAAAAATAAGTAAAATGACTTGGCTCCTTTGCCAATGCTGCAGCAGCTTGCACCAAACACAGCCCTAATGCATCAAAGCAAAGGATCTTGTGACCCAGACCTGCAGTACATTGGAGTGTTCCTATTTTATGCATGTGTAGAGTGCTGCATGACAAAACCCCACTGCATATTCATTCTGAGAGGTGCTGCTGTGGGTGCAGAACAACATTCGGCAGCACCATACACAGGCAGTGAGCAAATGTAAAGACACTGCTATAAACAGTCTATAAAAAGGAACATTTTATACTGCAAAAAGGAACCCAGAAGTGTTGAAAGTACTGCAGCCAATGAACCAGATTCATCAATGAGAGAGATTGGTCAAGGAAGGAGATTCATTGATAAGAGATTCACCAAGCAAGTTCCCAACAGAATCAGGCACATATCTACTGCAATCCAATTGCCTCTAACTAATGACTAAAAATATTACTGTTTAGTAATTTACACAAAGAAATTCTATTACATAACATACAAATATTACCACCATTCGAAACTCATTTAAAACTGAACCTATTAGATACAACACTAACCTAGAAACCAAAAATAAAAAGCTGCAATTTATATTAAAAAAAAAAATATTACTGAAATTGCAAATAATCACTGGATGCAAATAATCACTGGATGAACATGTCACATGTAAGTACATGCTAGAAAGGCTTCCACAAGATAGGTGCAAAAACTTTACAATTCCATGTAAAGAACGATCTTCTTATGATAAGAGCTTAAAAAAGAAGACAGGAAATCCAATCTTCGGTGCATCACTGGCAATTGGAAACGTTTTAGTTTAAATATCGTAGAATTTATTTTTTTATTTCTAAATATTGTATTGAATAGAATGGGGAAGTGACAGAACCTCTGTCATATATTTATATCTGTGTCACCTTTGCTGAGAGTCAGCCTCACTGCCAAGCCCAATGACTGTTGTCACCAAACAGAAAGGCAGGAGAAATCTCCCAATGGGGGTGCTGGTTCTTGGAACAGTTATTAAAAGTGGGGTTACCTGTCAAATTGGGTCTATTCTTTCCCGATGTGTCCTTATGATGGAAGTAAAGTAAACATTTATCAATAGGGACATTGGCAGCCTAATTCACGAAAGCCTTGCACAAATTCTACTGCTAGTTTTGAGGCCTGCAACAAATTCAGGTTCTTATGTGGAACAGTTTTACATTGTGTTGCAATGTCTGTGACAGATCCATAGAGATATCGCTATTTTATTAATAAGGAAAATTGGAGGTAAATAAGACTTCCATATTGGAGTAAACTGCGTTACATATTAGGTGGCAGTTTGTACAATTCTGCGACAAAATTCTTCTTAGTTGTGTGACCGTCCCATATACATCTTAAAAGCACATAGATAAATCTGTCACAAGTTATGCCATGTGTTGCACTACAGCAAGTCAGATTTTCCAGACTTTATAATTAAGCGCTAGTTTGGGTTAAACGCGCTAGAGGTGTTGGTATGAGATGCTCTTAATGCTGCTTGATAAAATAAAGGATACACAGGGATTTTTGGAGTGCCGCAATTTCTCTTCTTTAAAAACAGTTATATTGTTGGTAGCGAGACAGGCATGCACCCAACAAGCGGAGACAGCTGGAGCAGCACTGTTTTTGTTATCTACAACACTCTTCATGAATTTCACACCAAGTCTTTAAAAAACCAAATGCATAAAACAACGGTGTACTGATCACAGCAAATTTATTCTAGCTAGTATTCTATAGTGTACGCTTAACAAATAATTGGTAGATATTAGGGATGCACCGATACCACTTTTTTAAGACCGAGTACGAGTACCGATACTTTTGATCAAGTACTCGCAGATACCAATTACCAATACTTTCTCTTAAAGGGACAGGTCACATTTTTTCTAAAGCAATACAAACTAATGCTTTAAGGTTACTTTCTTAATATTATGATTCATGAGATGACGAGGGAGCATGACGCCGGCTTCCCGGCCAATCAGAATGCCGGGCGCTGCGTCATTACACGGTGCTTGGCTTCCGGATTTGCTAGCTTCCTGACCAATCGGGAAACCGGGCAGCGCGTCATTGCACGCTACCCGGCTTCCTGATTGGCCGGGAAGTCGGCTCCATGCTCTCTCATCACAAGCGACGAGAGAGCATGGAGCCGTTTCCTGGCCAATCAGGAAATCGGGCAGCGTGTAATGATGCGCTGCCCGGCTTCCTGATACAGGAAGTACTCGTGCAAGGTATCGGAGCATTTGAGCGAGTACGAGTACTCACCCAAATACTCGGTATCGGTGCATCCCTAGTAGATATATTAGCCTTGTACACAATCCCTTTTTTTATGTGGCTTTCAGTGGCTTGTGATGTCTCATGGGACTTGTAGTTTCACAACAGCTGGAGTGCCAAGGTTGACTACCTCTGGGCTAAGCACTTTTGTAAGTGTTGAATAGAGAATGGAAAGATTAGAACCCTTGTCAGATTTGTATTCATGTTTGGTCCCTACAGAGTAGAATCACCCCATCTATTTATCCTGGTGACCATTGTTAACCTGACCTAAAAATAGGTCACTAAACCAGGAACAAAAGGAGAAATCTTCCAATGTGGACACCTGATTTGGCAAGACCTGTCTAAAAGTGGCTATACACGTAGCATTTTGTGATTAATTGACATATGAGCCATCGCAATCATTAATCAAAATATCAACAATGCAACACACAGCGTATTGTTCCGCACTTTAAGGTCAACTAAAAATTTCCTTCAGAAATAGGCGTTATGAATGTATACGATGTACGAAAAACATTCAATTAATTAAGATTGGTTTGCCAAAAGCAAGCAAATATTTGTTTGCTCAATCATAAGCGACTGACCTAATTTTGCCACTTCCGATCGACTGAGAGCACACTAAACTGGTCAAATAGAAGAGTCTTTGGTTTGCGATTTTGATTTAATACGATCGTTTTTAGTTGCATTGAATGATGGATCGTATGATCATATCAATGTGCATGGCTGCCTTAAAGGGGGATTTTCCTCGCCTTGGAAAGATGTTCTCTTACTTCCTGTTTGCGTCTAAGACACACAAAAAACAAACAAATAGACAATGGTTTGAACTATTCTCTATCTATAGGCAAAACTTTTTTGTTGGGAGATGTATAGGTTATCTAAAATAAAACAATTTGTTTCATATGTCCCATATCAAGAGGTGGCTTATAGCAGTCCTGGATGTCATGCTACCAGAGTGTGCATCACGCACAGTCATCACCCTAGGCTAGACCAGGGAATTTCCATGCCTGCTTTGACTCATCCATCGAGTCACCGGCCAGATAATTACCCATCATTTGCTTCAGCCACACCACAAGCTGCCAGAAAAGCACTGCCTAATCTTCCACACCAAAGCAAACGATTACTATACTGAAAGTCAATTCATAACACACATCTGAAAAACAAAATCACAGCTCAGCAAACCACCCAACTACCGTTAATACAATTAGGACCATTAATAATTAACACACACACAGTTAATCACACAGTTAATAAATAATTATCCAGAACATAGTGTTTCTTAATGATCTTTCAAATCTTGTTCAAGTCTTACAATTAGAAGGTATGGCTAGCAGCAGTTCTGCGCCATCCCCTGCCATATATGAATAATAGACTGACCAGTGTGGTTTCTTTTTTGCAGACAGTGCTTAAATGTTTTGTAATAATACACTGTAATTGGTTAATTTGTGGCAGGTTGGAGGTGATCATTAGCTAAAATGTCCAGCAAGTTCATCTCACATTACTTTGGCATGTGTTGTGAACCTCGCTAGATCAGCACATGTAGGAACAGGTGTAGCTTTCTCCGGCACCTGTCACTGCTCCAAGCGCGGCCCGGCCAATCAGGTGGGCAAGAGCGCGGACACAGCCATACATGGAGCTGTTGTTTCAGCCTTTGAAGGTCGGATGTTGCTCTCCTCCAAAAAACCTTCCCGGGCTGTCACTAATCTTTGGTCACTTTATCTGCTTGTTATTGTTAACCCCCGCTACGCTGGCCAGCCCCACTTAATGCCAGGCACATTGTGACCATCTTAGCAGTTCAGCGGAGCTATTATATTTCTCGTTTGGGTACGAGGCTCATGCTGTAAGATAACACTTCTGCATGTGAGACTGCACATGTCAAAGGCATCAGTTTGTCAACTTCGTTTACATCAAGGAGCTTTTTTACTTTACACAGATCTCCCCCCTTAATGCCAAAACAAATCACTGCTTTCTCTGTGTGTATGTAGGAAACATTTTTTTTCTAAAATGCACATTAATGCCATATTTACAATGAGGGGAATTTTATCAAAACTGCAGCACACAAAATCTGGAGCAGCTGTGCATGGCAACCAATCAGCTTCTGTCTGCTCTAGTTTTGGTAAATTCCCCAGTGTTTTGGACAGCTTGCCCTTAAAATTCATCATATTGCACGGTCCTAAATGCAAAGGTAACACATATTCTAGGTGATTAGTTGTTACCCACAACCCTTGATTAGAGTTCCACACAACTTTTTATATTAGAAGTTTGTGGTAATTATCCTCCATTGTATCTTCCTGCAGAGATGATCTT